ATTAATACAAAATAAAGCCAATACTTGGCGTAGACTTTGTTAGGATAATTCATTAAACGAATAAAGATTAACGATAAAAATCTGACGACCTTCTAGTAGCTTCCCCGGTGATTATTCTAGCAGTAAAATTTTAAAGGCAACCCCATGAACAAAAATTTAAAATGTTTGTAACTTCGATATCTTTTACAATAGAGATATACTAAGGGCATAATTGTGATCCCATTACCAAGTAGATCAACGTACTAATCGATTAATTAATCAAAATAAGTACACGTCCTAATATGCTCCCGTATATAGTTCTAAAATAACAGTCCCTACTCACTAGAAGTATAAATATGATGCTAACAATCAAATTTACCAAACAAAAGTGTTGTAACTTCGAGATCTTTTACAATAGAATTATAAAAATAATATAATCATGATACCATGACCAAGTAGATCACCACACTAGTCGACTAATTCATCAAAAAAATGACGTCCAAATTGGGTGAAAATGCTCTCGTATACATCTCTGGGATAATAATTCCAACATATTGGGTATATAGATGTAACCCCTCACGACGATAATATTTTATTTTCCATTGACCATCGATATACTGCTCCCAGTATAACCTATAAATCATAAAACCAAATAAATAATAGCTATGCACTAAATAATATCGCGATACTAATAATCGAAATACAAAACAAAATCGTATAAATATCAAACGAACTCTCCCTCTAAATAATATCATTAAAATCAAAATTACTAGTATCCGACTTAATATCGTCACAAGGATAACATAACAAATACAAGAATAATAAATGTTAAAATATTTATAATAATATAATTTAAGTGCCATTGAATAATTACAAGATATATATATATTAATCCCCAACTAACAATGAATATTTAATAAATATCCTATGAAACTTGTAAAGACAAAATTATAAATAAAAACGTAAGATAATAACCAAAATTTAACAATTGATAAAACTAATAAATTATATGGTACTAATAATTCTCTATGATTAAAATTGAAATTGCTTAAATGCAAATAATAATAATAACAATAATGAATTTGCATAAATTTTAATAAGACTTACCCTTAGAAATAATAATATATCCTTGACCATCAACATTTTAATTCAGCACTGCTTGTTTTTCTTGCTAAACCTGTTGACACCTAAAAACAAATAAAAATGAATATATGTTCTTAGACCATAAATTAATAAAAATATTAATGATTAAAAAATTTCAGAAACAAAATTTTGGTAGTAAAATCTAGCTTCAAATTCTACAAAATAATTCTAACAACTATACACATGAATATATATATATATATATGTATATATATATATATGCATCCACACTTATAACCAATAATAAATGAATAATAAAACCTTAACAAATAAAATATTCACTTATAATAAGCTAATAACGAAATTTAACCAAATACTAGCGGCCCACAACACAAATAATAATTTAAATTGATCTTACCTGAAAATCAAATAAGAATACCTTATATGACGAAGTCACATGACCCCCCTCCTGGATGCCTGAAAAATTAATGTAAAATAATATTTGGTCATAAGAATAATAATTTCTAACACGAGGCTGTCAATATTTTATAAAAATTTGCAAAGCATTAAGTATAACAAAATGGATAGCATCTATATGCTTAAGGCATATACACATGAGCCAATGAAAAGAAAGAAAAACCAACTAGCATAAATGAACAAAATAATATAAAATTTAGATTAAAATAATTTAAAAAATCAGAATAAGGCCAATGAACATCATCAAAAATCAACCATGAACATTTACGATCACACTCTTCTATATATGAATGCATGTACCAAGCCTTATAAAATATTAACACTTCATATAAAAAGTTTTCAACTATAATAATCCCCCTTTTTTCAAGTACTTTAATGACAAAATTTCATAATACTAAACCTTATTAAGTATAATTATGTCAGAATATTACTTACTAGTAAGTCTTCATATGACGAAAATAAATGGACACCCTATATTCGTGTTCCTACTCACCGGGTAAAAGTATCACCTGAATTAATAAAATAATAATATTAAGGATGGACATCTATAGCTACTATGAATATAAAATGTATATACACAATTGTAAAATGCACGAACATTCACATATGAGCACTCTTATACGTATATATATATATATATATATATATATATATATATATATATATATATATATACGTGCATATGAACATATGCAAATTTAATAATGTAAGACTAAAATCTTCCGAGAAATGAATAAGGCCCAGCTGCATAACGTGTGAAATAACACTCGAAAAATAGAATCTAAATTCAAAAACTTTATTAAATAAAAATAAAAAATTTCAACAATGAATATAATGACAGCAACTTCTTACCATGCATAATATACATATATCATTAAGTCAAAGGAAATAAAACGTGAAAACACGAGAGAAATAGAGAAATAATACGTGTACTTACGAATAATATTGCACAAAGAATATTATGCGTATAACTCTACGAGTCGAACAAGCGTGCAAGGCCAAGTCCAGCACGTCGCGTTATCTCCATTGGAATTTTTAAACATCCTCTCCCGACCTAAAGGCAGAGGGAAGATCTAAATTCGCGCTCGCATGAATGCAAACCAAATTAATACATCGACTTCTCTTTTATAATTAAGCATTAACAAAGTATTCTCTATTAATATTATACTATTATCCAGTATCATATACCTCTATATACATATATATGCATACTATATGTGACATATGAACTGACTACATATACACATATGCATACATATTTTATAACAAAATCCAATAAAATAAAAGTAGAGACGTAATAAACAATCGTCAGGACGAAAAATTAACATATATTAATAGATAAAAATATACACCTTTATATATATATGCATACTATATGTAACCTATAAATCGAATAAATTTACATATACGCATATATATTTTATAACCAAACTCAATAAAATAACGGTATAAATACAATAAATACGCGTCGCGATAGAAATTGACACATATATATATTAACATGTCCAGAAATCTCCCTATATATATGCATACTATACGTAATATATAAATTGAATAAATTTACATATACGCATATATATTTTATAACAAAACTCAATAAAATAAAGGTATAAATACAATAAATAAGCGTTGCGATGGAAATTTACAAATATATATCTTAACTTGTCCAAAATTATCCCTATATATACGCATACTATATGTAACATACAAATTGACTAAATTTACATATACGCATATATATTTTATAACCAAACTCAATAAAATAACGGTATAAATACAATAAATACGCGTCGCGATAGAAATTGACACATATATATATTAACTGTCCAGAAATATCCCCATATATATGCATACTATATGTGACGTGTAAATTGAATAAATTCGCATATACGCATATATACTTTATAACAAAATCCAATAAAATAAAGGTATAAATATAATAAATAAGTTTCGCGATAGAAATTAACATATATATATTAACTTGTCCAACAATATCCCTATATGTATATGCATACTATATGCATATACATTTTGTAACAAATTTAACAATAAAACAAAGGAGGAGATATAATAGACTGCTACCGCGACAAAATTAATCAGCACACAAAACATATATATATATATATTACGAATATTAACAAATAATTAATATTAATAACCCCAAGATTTTATACAATAATTATTAATCTTATACGATGATTATTAAATACGATTCAGTAAAAACTTGCTGAAATCAATTTTCATAAGCAATATGCGAATACATATCTATACATATATATATATATATATATGTGCTAATATAAAAGTCGCCCAAATGAAAATCTTCAAAGAATAAAATATTGTCAGAATCAAAAGACCTCTTGAATAAAAGATCACGGTAGAGCGTGCAATGAATTCTTCGAGCACATCCGTCGTGATCATTCTTAGAAGTAAAACGAGCCGCTTTTTCATACGTTGTTCCGAGAATTGTAAGAATAAAATTTCTTTTAGCGACATAATAACTATTAAGCGAAGCGATAATTAATTTCCATATATTCTTATTGTAAAATTTATTGTAATAATAATGGCTTAACGCATTAGAATTTATTAAAATATTATTCATAGACTTGAGTAATCATTAAAAGTCGACTTTGAAAATTTTAAAATATATACATATAAAACCACAAAAATTCTAATTGTTAAAGCCTTTATTAAATAAATAAAAATATATCTTGTAAATGATAAATCTTAATAATTAGTCTTAAGATAATTATTAAACCTGGAAATAATACGTGTAATATGCCAATTTAAACCACGTAAACGAATTTTAAAAGGTAATTCATTAAAAAATATTACTGTTACTAATGTGTCTTATAAAGAGAAAGAATGCAGTGAGCATTCTTCGAAGGACATCCAGCATATCTATTTTTAGAAAAAGAGATAAGCCATCTTCGCATCCGTTGCGTTAGAATCTGCAATCCAAATGCTAAATTTTTCTTTACTAATTATTACTAATTATTAATTTACTAATTATTAATTTTCACTAATTATTAATTTTAACTATATATGCACCATTGTAAAAATCATTGTAATAATAATGGTTTAATACATCAGAATTTACCAAAATATCACTTAAAATTTAAACAATTGCTATAAATCGAACTCAAATTTTCTAATGACATAAATATGATATTATAAAAAATTCTGATTGTTAAAAATCATTATTAAAAATTATTCTAAAATTATTTAATAAATCTAAGACTCAAGACTTGCAATCCCTACCACGAAACTCTCACCCACCACATCGCAAACTCATAGCAGGAAGGGATAGCTCCAGCAGCCGACCCACCAATCACCGAAGAGGCCCACCTCCTCTCCCTACCATTAAACGTCGAACCAGAGGAAGGTATTTAAGGCACCCCAGCTGCTCTCTCCGGCCTTTTAGACAAGTCGGTCAGCCTCTAACACAGCTCTCGCCATTAGCTCGCCTGTGTCTCAGCTCTCTCTACGCCCATCAGATCTCCAGCTCTCGAAGAGGAAAAACCTAGAAGCCTACCGGACACCTTAACTTATTCGAAAATAACTTAGTCGCGATTTTGATTTTTTCTTTCGGGACTTAGTCTCAATCTCTATTAAGAGAGCTGTATCAACATTAACACTTTAATAAAGTGCTACCATCCAGCAACCTCTGACTCTTTGGCCATTCTCTGCGCTGCCTTGCCACTTCTTCAGGTTCTCACCGAGGTCGAGCAACCCAGGGAAGGAGCAGCGGTGCCTGCATTCATCCATTGATCCCGTCATCCGGTAAGGAAATAATAAAATAATAATCATTCTTAATCAACCTTGATAATAACTTTGTATATTAGTTCGATTTATTCTAGGCCTATTGACAATTTTCCCAGAATCTTACTTGCCCGTATACAGACTTTAAATTTTTCTTTCGAGTTGAATTATTTAAATTTCAACCGATCCTCTGAGAACGCTCGAAGCGTATCCTAGAGTGTAGCGTCGTTCGAGTTAGTCACTCGATGTGCATTGAGTAGTAAATTCTACTCCTCTGCCGCTTTCACGGAGAGCTTCTCTGAAAGAATTTCTCCGTGGATCCTGTGCCGCTGTGACGTGACGTCTTGCACATCGATACTAGACTCAGAATCTAAGACTCGCTCCTAGAGGATCTGTCGAAATAATAGAATTTATGCACTGGCTTACAAGTTAACTATCGAAAACATTTTATGAATTTTATACTTATCTGAAGTAAGCCAGCCGCTCTTACCCGTATCCTTGTCTGTACCCCCTGAATCTCCGGACCTCTCGGTGCAACCGCATGCCCCTGAAAAATTCAAAATATATTAAATAAATCATTAATTGCTGTACCCCAATGAACTGTATATAGCCGAACGTTTCAACCATTACATGAGAACGAGCGAGATATACCATCATAATCTACGTTCGTTTATCTCACAATAATTCATTAAGCCGTATTATTCGTCCTAACTCTATGAACCACCTTGCTGTGACTACATTTACCTTATAAAACCATTCATCTTAACAGGTACCTTTCTACGCATCATCGTAAGTAAACCCCTTTTGTGTTAAATCAATCGCATCAAATATACTAAATAGTCATATTCCCTCGGTAGATGGTTAACCCCCGCCGAACTTCTTCCGTTGGACGCGAAATTCCCCTCCGTGCCGCTGGTGTACGCCGCAGGCGTGCCTCCCGGTCGGTACTTAGGCTCCCTACAGCTCGTCAGTTGTTTGCCGACGAGAACGACTTAACAAGCAGAGTAACAAGGTACTCTCCAGTGCGTAGTTTCGCGCCCTCCCGCGCATACCCTTATCGTCCTCCCCGAAACCCTCCAGCGGTTCTTCAAGAGGAACAACAGCCCAGAGCCAGGCCGCCATCGCCCAATTACTCCCCCTTCCAGGATTCATCTGATCCCAGCTACTCGCCGGTCAGGACACCGGAAGATCTTCCTTCCATACCGGAAGAACGAAGACCCATAGAACAAAGCACAGAAACTGAGGCTGGTCCATCCAACCCAGGTCAAGTTCTGGATCCCCCTGAACCAAATTTCTACCCGGAACCAGAGGACCTAGTCTTACCAAGCAGTATCCAACCCCTCGCAGGACTAACGGACGAAGATTTTATCGAGATCTACGAATACTTGCAGCGAGATAATTTCTTCAACAACCGCGAATAATAACCATATCTAGATATCGCCTTAGGAATGCTATAGAGAAGAACATTAACTACATACACACATCTATACGTATAACGATATACACTATCTACAACTGTCAAATAATAACAATAATAACAATAATAAAAATTTGTAAAGCTCTAAGGAAGTAAACTAATAAAAGAAAACAGATCAAAAAGGATAAATTGGGTCAGGTTCAACGCACCTAATTTATTTCCCATCGTCAATCCCTCTCCTGAAAGAAGCGCAAAAGATTCTTAGTCTCTCGGCGTCCTAGGGTATAGCCGGCTTGGCAGGTTGCCCTGAAAAAGAAATAGAGAGAAGTTACAATTGCGTAACAAATAAATACGTGAGAAGTTACGATCGAGACGTAACAACGAAATCTCAAAACGTAACACCCTCCCTATCAAGCACGACGACGAACCCTCATAGAAGCTCAAAATCTTAAAAATTGCTTGCGTTCTTTAGTAGACGTCATTACCGAAATCGGACTTCCTTCCTTGAGTATCAATAAGACCGAACGTTTCGATGACCTTCCATGGTCATACATCTTAAATCAACTTAAAAGACACCTACAAGAATTACCAATTTACATAACAATATGTTTGGACTTAATCCAAACACCTGAAATAAACAATCGACAAACCCTAATTTCAGAAAACATGCCTCCGCTGTTGGTGGACATAAAGGCGTGACGAAAACCTACAATCGTCTTAGACCTCAGTATTATTGGAAAACTATGAAAAAAGACATTCAAGAATTTATTAGAAATTGCCGCGATTGTCAATTAAAGAAATTAACCAGAGTAAAAACTAAACAACCTATGGTTATCACGGATACTCCCGGTTCCGCTTTCGATAAATTATCTTTAGACATTATGGGCCCTCTACCCATAACCACCAAAAGCAACCAATACATACTAACAATGCAAGATTTACTAACTAAATATTCTATCGCCGTACCATTAAGAGAAGCTACGTCCTTAACAATTGCAGACGCTTTCACGAAAGATTTTATTTGCATTTATGGTACACCTCGTGCCATATTAACCGATCAAGGAACGAACTTCCTGTCTGCCTTAATGCGACAATTAACCAAGAGATTTCATATCCAACATTTTAGAACTACCGCATATTATCCACAGTCTAATGGATCCTTGGAAAGATCTCATCATGTGCTGACTGAGTATCTGAAAACCCAGATAGACAAAGAAACAAATTGGGATGAATATATCAGACTTGCCATGTTTTCGTATAACACCAGCGTTCACGAAGGCACAAGATACTCACCTTACGAGTTAGTTTTCGGACGAATAGCCCGATTACCCTCAGCCCATCCTATTATCGAAGAGAATATCGAACCTACGTATCATGAATATATAACTAACCTCTTTAATAAAATCAACGATTTACAAAGACAAGCTAGATTGAACCTCATACAAGCTAAAGAAAGAAGTAAAAAGTATTACGATCGTAACCAGAACCCACAGCAATTAGAAAGAGGAATGTATGTATTTCTATTAAAGGAACCACAGAAAGGGAAATTCTCAGACCAATACACGGGCCCTCATGAAGTGCTCGAAATTTTACCCCCTAACGTCAAACTCAAAGTCGGGAGACAAGCCCGACTAGTCCACGTAAACAAAATAAAACTGTCAAATATTCAACCTGGATGAAATAATAATTTAACCTTCTCATTTTTACAGATGCTTTGGCATAGACGGCCTATTCAGCCGAGGCCGGACGCCGCTTCCTTGAGGCGTGTGCAACAAGCCTTCCTGTATGCTCATTGCATACATGTGGTAGGGGCACTCAACCTAGACGACGAGACCAATTTATGCACAAAGTGCTACTCTAAACTTCGCCCGACCATAATCATACAGACGTACCGATACATGCAGAAACATTTTTTCGTCAATGGTCATACAGCCGCAGATGAATACTGCTCTTCGTGCGGTGCTGTCGTAACGAAAATCAGCCCAATCAACGAGTGCGTGTCCTGCGTAACTGTTGGCCGTGAGTTTCTCGACGCGCTTCACGCCGCAACACTTTCGCTTGACGACTACGATTACCCTCTCGTTCTAGATACCCATAATCGAACCCCCATGCCTTAGAGTATGCCCCTCACCGGCACCGCGTGTTGCCTAAAAGTAAGAGGATATCGCGCCCCCGCTCTAAATATCCTTATATGTGAATCTTGTTACTCTCAAATCCCTCATCCTACGACACAATTTCCTTTAGTACTTATCCATCTCATCTCTCTGGGACCACTCCACCTTAATCTTTATTGTAGTCTTTGTCTCCATTCACTTATCACCCTGAGAGCATTAAATCAATGTCTCTACTGTATCTACAATATCCTTACGCTGTCCGCACCATACGCAATTGACTCTTTATAATGACTCAACCACTTTCTAATGTCGTATGCATTAAATTACACGGTTATCTAAATCTAAATAATTTACATCATTATTGCTGTGCATGTTATTGCCTCCTACATACTCCCTCTAACCAACGATTCTTTCTTCCTATCGATTCACACATCATTTCCTTCGCCCCTCATCCCTACCGAACCCTGTGTATATATTGCCAACGCCCAATCTCCATAGCAAGACCCCTCTCTACCTGTCTCATATGTATCAGGAACCTTGTACAAATCCTTCGGGACACCGCCCCTAATAACCTTCCATCTATTGAGCAGGGACCTTCCTCGTCCACCTCATAAATATGTTGTCCCAATCATCTTCAGGCACCCCTTATCTAGTAATACACGAAGAATTCGACGGTTACTGTAGCGAAACGGGAAACCATTACTGTAACAGATGTCAACAGTACATTGACTTTCCACTACATCGCATCAACTACCATAGCCTAACCGAAAACTTCCCCCATGTAGAGACAACTAAATGTAGTCGGTGCAATGATAATGTATCAACTATTACACCAATAACCAATTGCCGAAGGTGTTTCTTGCGCTATTTGCAAGGAGAAAGAGAAAGAGAATTAGCACACGGGAAGCACCCTGGTGGAACTAATTAAATGGATATACTGTTAGAATTGATTTCTGACGAGGATTATAGTATCCTATCCCGGTTAGTGCACGAGGAACTAGATGCTTATAAAAGCCTTTCCACCGACCAACTTTATTGCTACTCGTGCGTCCCTTTCGAAAACGGAGAATTTTTATACCTTAGCTACCATTATGTATCCGTTTTCTCCCCAGCCTATTACTCCCTCTTTAGATGTTACATATGTGCTCGACCTGTAGCCTTGTGCACATCATTGTGGGACTGCAGAAGGTGCACCCTGTATTACTCACAAGGAGAACATATGCAAGAATTTATAACGAGCCGAAACTATTAACAGATCGGTTCATAATGAGTAATGCCGGCGATCCTTCTTGTAACCACCCCATTCACCAATTTTCCTCACACTTTCCCAACTTTCATAAAGCGCATTGTCGAAAGATCATATTCTATAGAAGATATATCAGTAAAACCCGCACCCCTACCCGCATGTGTTGTCCTTGCTATAGACTTAGACAACTTAGAATCAAACCCGATTTAGTAATCTGCCATTGGGTAACTTACGGTAACTTAAACTTTCCTACCTGCGAATACTGTAAATCCACCTTGGAAACTGTCCGTCCCATCCTGCACTGCACCGAGTGTATTTTCTCCTATCTCGAACGAGCTTTATATGAAAGAGACCATGGAGGAAATATAAACTCATTGGAAGCTTTCGCTTTTTGCAGAACACACAGGCAGGGCTTACGGGCTTAAAAAGGACAAGGTGCAAAATGTGCCCACTATTGAAAACAAAAACACCAACACATCCTCTACTGGAGGATTCATTCTTTAACAGCCTATATGTAAAATGCGTCTCTATTATGACACACGATGTGTTAAATTCAAATAACACGTATATTATATGTACCGATTGTTATAAACCCGAGGTCTACAATAGAGTCTTAACTCGATATTCGCACACGTTCCAGTACGGAACAGTACCGCCTGAGGAATGTAAACTCTGTCGAAAACTATGTCGCGAGAGTCGTCCTCTCCAAGAGTGCGCAAAGTGCCTCCGAGCCTACCACATATTCATAGAAAAAGTAACTAGAGCGAACCAGAAGGACACCTATAAACGATTAGTGGGACTGTCCGTCAACTCTGGTACTTTAGATTTAGAATACGGAATAGTAGAAAGGAGGAGTGACCCTAATGACTTAGAGACCTTGGCAGAAGCTTTGTCAATTTGAAAAATTTTAAAATGCACTCCTCATTTCACTGTCCTACCGACCTAAAATCTATACTCTACTATTATAAGTTATATAAGCTAATACCGTAACACAATGATCCACACTTATATACTATGTTAAGAAAACATGAATATATATATACATGTATGATTTAAAAATCATAAAATACACATATTATATACGCATAAAAATATTCAGAAAGAAAAGGGAAAAAATATATACAAAA